GGGGTTGGGTTGGGGTTGGGGGGTGGTTATGGGTGAGGAACATTGGGATTTGGGGTTGGGTTGGGGTTGGGGTGTGGTTATGGGTGAGGGACATTGGGATTTGGGTTTGGGGTTGGGTTGGGGTTGGAGTGTGGTTCCAGGTGTGGGATCCTTGGGATTTGGGGTTAGGGGGTCTTGGGGTGTGGTTACAGGTGAGGGACATTGGGGTTTGGGGTCAGGGAAGGTGTTGGGGTGTAGTTACAGGTGGGGCATCTCAGGTTTGGGGTTAGGGGGTCTTGGGGTGTGGTTACAGGTGAGGGACATTGGGGTTTGGGGTTAGGGGGTCTTGGTTTTGGGTTGATTTTGGGGTGAGGCTGAGCCCCTCGTGGGGGTGGTTTTGGGTTTTTTTGGGTGGTTTTGGGTTTTTGAGGTGGTTTTGGGTTGATTTTGGGGTGAGGCTGAGCCCCTCGTGGGGGTGGTTTTGGGTTTTTTTGGGTGGTTTTGGGTTTTTGAGGTGGTTTTGGGTTGATTTTGGGGTGAGGCTGAGCCCCTCGTGGGGGTGGTTTTGGGTTTTTTTGGGTGGTTTTGGGTTTTTGAGGTGGTTTTGGGTTGATTTTGGGGTGAGGCTGAGCCCCTCGTGGGGGTGGTTTTGGGTTTTTTTGGGTGGTTTTGGGTTTTTGAGGTGGTTTTGGGTTGATTTTGGGGTGAGGCTGAGCCCCTCGTGGGGGTGGTTTTGGGTTTTTTTGGGTGGTTTTGGGTTTTTGAGGTGGTTTTGGGTTGATTTTGGGGTGAGGCTGAGCCCCTCGTGGGGGTGGTTTTGGGTTTTTTTGGGTGGTTTTGGGTTTTTGAGGTGGTTTTGGGTTGATTTTGGGGTGAGGCTGAGCCCCTCGTGGGGGTGGTTTTGGGTTTTTTTGGGTGGTTTTGGGTTTTTGAGGTGGTTTTGGGTTGATTTTGGGGTGAGGCTGAGCCCCTCGTGGGGGTGGTTTCAGGTTTTTGGGGTGGTTTAGGAGTTTTTGGTGGTTTTGGGCTGTGACTGAGCCCCTCCTGGAGGTGATTTCAGGTTTTTGGGGTGGTTTAGGAGTTTTTGGTGGTTTTGGGCTGTGACTGAGCCCCTCCTGGAGGTGATTTCAGGTTTTTGGGGTGGTTTAGGAGTTTTTGGTGGTTTTGGGCTGTGACTGAGCCCCTCGTGGGGGTGATTTCAGGTTTTTGGGGTGGTTTAGGGATTTTTGGTGGGTTTGGGCTGTGGCTGAGCCCTGGGGGTCCCCGCAGAGCAAGGAAGGGAAGAGCCCCCTGCACATGGCGGCGATCCACGGACGGTTCACGCGCTCGCAGATCCTCATCCAGAACGGTCGGTGCATCCCAATCCCTGCTGCATCCCAAATCCTCCTGCAGCTCCCAGCACCTCCGGGGGGCTCGGGGAGGGGGTTCAGACCCCCCCAAGTCGGCACCCAAACTCCCCAGGGGGATCTTGTGGTATTTTTCCCAATATTCGTGTCATAAAATTGCAATATTCTCATCAAATCTTTCAAAATTCCAATGTTTTTCCCAATATTCCCATCAGATCTTTCAAAATTCCAATGTTTTTCCCAATATTCCCATCAGATTCTCCAATATTCCAATATTTTTCCCAATATTCCCGTCAGATTCTCAAATATTCCAATATTTTTCCCAATATTCCTCTCAGAAATCTCCAATATTTCAATATTTTTCTCAATATTCCCATCAGATCTTTCAATATTCCAATGTTTTCCCAAAAATTCCCATCAGATCCTCCAGTATTCATCCCAAAATTCCGGCCAGATCTTCCAAAATTCCCACCAGATCCTCTAATATTTTTCCCAAAATTCCTGTTGCATCCTCCAGAATTCCAAGATTTTGGCTCTGGGGTGGGAATTTCAGGATTTTAGATCCTGGAACCTTCTCTGGGATGGAAATTTGAGAATTTTGGAGCCCGGATCCATCCCCGGGTTTGGAAATTCGATTATTTTGGCTCTGAGGTGGAAATTCCAGGATTTCAGAGCCCGGATCCATTCCTGGGTTTGGAAATTCCGGGATTTCAGAGCCCAGAGCTGTCCCTGGGTTTGGAAATTCCAGAATTTTGGAGCCCGGATCCATCCCCAGGTTTGGGAATCCCAGGATTTTGGCGCCGGGTTTGGGAATCCCAGGATTTTGTCTCTGGGATGGGAATTGCGGGATTTTAGATCCTGGAACCTTCTCTGGGATGGAAATTTGAGAATTTTGGAGCCCGGATCCATCCCCGGGTTTGGAAATTCGATTATTTTGGCTCTGAGGTGGAAATTCCAGGATTTCAGAGCCCGGATCCATCCCTGGGTTTGAAAATTCAAGAATTTTGGTTCTGGGGTGGGAATTCCAGGATTTCAGAGCCCAGATCCATCCCTGGGTTTGGAAATCCCAGGATTTTGGCTCTGGGATGGGAATCCCAGGATTTTGTCTCTGGGTTTGGAATTCCGGGGTTTTTGGCTCCGAGTTTGGGAATCCCAGGATTTTGGCTCCAGGGTTTGGGAATCCCAGGATTTTGCCTCTGGGGTGGGAATTGTGGGATTTTGGCTCTGGGGTGGGAATTGCGGGGTTTTAGATCCTGGAACCTTCTCCGGGATGGAAATTTGAGAATTTTGGAGCCCGGATCCATCCCCGGGTTTGGGAATCCCAGGATTTTGGCTCCGGGATGGGAATTCCGGGGTTTTTGTCTCCGGGATGGGAATCCCAGGATTTTGGCTCCGGGTTTGGAGTCCCGGGGATTTGCTCCCGGAACGTTCCGGAGCCGAGCCGCGCTCTCCCCGCAGGCAGCGAGATCGACTGCGCTGACAAGTACGGCAACACCCCCCTGCACGTCGCTGCGAGATACGGCCACGAGCTGCTCATTAGCACGTTAATGACCAATGGTGCTGACACTGCCAGGTGAGCCCGCTGCCCTTCCAGAACCTTCGGGGGGTCCTGGGAGGGTCCTGGGAGGGTTCTAGGGGTGTTCTGGGAGGGATTCCAGAATGTTCTGGGTCCTGGAAGGGTTCTCAAAGTGTCCTGGAGTGTTCTGGGGGGGTCCTGGGAGGGTCCTGGAAGGGATTCCAGAATGTTCTGAGCTTTTTCTGGGTCCTAGAAGGGTTCTAAGGGTGTTCTGGGAGGGATTCCAGAATGTTCTGGGTCCTGGAAGGGTTCTCAAAGTGTTCTGGGAGGGTTCTGGAAGGGTTTCTGGGGTGTTCTGGGCTCCAGCTGGGTCCTGGAAGGGTTCTCAAAGTGTCCTGGAGTGTTCTGGGGGGTGTCCTGGGTGGGTTTCTGGGCTCCAGCTGGGTCCTGGAAGGGTTCTAGGGGTGTTCCGGAAAGGTTTCCAGAACGTTCTGAGCTCCTAGAAGGGTTTCCAAAGGGTCCTGGAAGGGTTTCCAGAATGTTCTGGGCTCTTTCTGGGTCCTGGAAGGGTTCTGGGGGTGTTCTGGGAGGATCCTGGACGGGTTTCCAGAATATTCTGAGCTCCTGGAAGGGTTCCCAAAGGGTCCTGGAAGGGTTTTCAGGATGTTCTGAGTTCCCAAAATGAAAAAAGTTTGAGGAGGTTTTAATCCCAAAATGAAAATACCTGTCCCTGTCCCTGTCCCTGTCCCCAGGACCCCCCTGCACTACGCGGCGGCCAACGGCAGCTACCAGTGCACGGTGACGCTGGTGACGGCCGGCGCCGCCGTCAACGAGGCCGACGGCAAAGGCTGCACGGCGCTGCACTACGCCGCCGCCTCCGACACGTACCGCCGGTGAGCCGCGCCGGCACCGGGCACCGGGCAATGGGCATGGGCGTGGGCACGGGGCAATGGGCACCGGGCATGGGCACGGGCACGGGGCAATGGGCATGGGCGTGGGCACCGGGCACCGGGCACTGGGGGCACCGGGCACTGGGCAATGGGCACCAGGCACTGGGCACGGGCATTGGGCACTGGGGGTACCGGGCATGGGCACAGGGCACCGGGCACTGGGCATGGGCACTGGGGGCACCGGGCACTGGGGGTACCGGGCACTGGGCACAGGGCACCGGGCATGGGCGCCAGGCACTGGCACTGGGTATGGGCACCGGGCACCGTGGGCACAGGGCATGGGCACCGGCACAGAGCACCGGGCACGGGCACCTTGCACTGGGCACTGGGCACGGGCACCGGGCACGGGGCACTGGGCGCACCGGGCATGGGCATGGGCACTGGGCACCGGAACAGGGCACTGGGGGCACTGGCACCAGGCACTGGCACCAGGCACTGGGCACGGGCATGGGCACCGGGCCCTGGGGGCACCTGGGGGCACTAGCACCAGCCTGATGTGGCACCTGGGGGACTGGGAGGGCACTGTCACCAACCCGACATGGCACTGTGGAGGCACCCAGGGACACTATGGGCACTGTCACCAGCCTGAGGTGGCACTGTGAGGGCACCTGGGGACACTGTGGGCATTGTCACCAGCCTGACATGGCACTCGGGGCACTGGCACCCGCCCCTGGGGGCACTGGCACCAGCCCCAGGTGGCACTGGTGGCACAGGGGTGGCACTGTGTGTCCCCGTGGTCACTGTCACCGACCCAGGGTGGCACAGGGGTGGCACAGATGGCACAGGGGTGGCACCGTGGTCACTGTCCCCGTGCCCTGCCAGGGCCGAGGCTCACTCAGGACCCAGCGAGGAGGAGCCCCTGAAGGAGTCGAGGCTGAAGGAGGCGTTCTTGTGAGTGCTGGGACTGGGGGGGACTGGGGGGGACTGGAGACACCTGGGGACACCTGGGGACACACCTAGGGACAGCCCAGGGACAGCCTGGGGACACGGGGACAGCCCCGACAACCTGGGCAGGACCTGTCTGCACGCTGCTGCTTCCGGAGGGTGGGGACACGGGGACATGGGGACACACCTGGGGACATGGGGACACACCTGGGGATATGGGGACACACCTGGGGACATGGGGACACACCTGGGGACAGCCCCGACAACCTGGGCAGGACCTGTCTGCACGCTGCTGCTTCCGGAGGGTGGGGACACGGGGACATGGGGACATGGGGACACCTGGGGACATGGGGACATTCCTGAGTGACTGAAGCGCACTTTGGGTGGCCTGGTGACACCCTGGGTGCCATGGGGGCACTCTGGGTGGCCTGGTGACATTCTGGATGACATGGGGACACTCTGGGTGTTGTGGGGACATTCTGGGTAGCCTGGGGACACCCTGGGTGCCGTGGTGGCACTCTGGGTGGCCTGGTGCCATCGCTGTGTCCCTGTCCCTGCAGGAACGTTGAATGTCTGAACCTGCTGCTGAGCAGCGGCGCCGACCTGCGGAGGAGGGACAAGTTCGGGAGGTGAGGGACACCTGGGTGGGGACATCCCCCTGTCCCCAGGGCCACCGGGGTGGGGACATCCCCCTGTCCCCAGGGCCACCAGGGTGGGGACATCCCAGTGTCCCCTGGGCCACCTGGACTGGGACATCCCAGTGTCCCCAAATCCCAGAGCTGGGGACACCTGGGGCCACCTGGGTGGGGACAGTCTGGTGTCCCCAAATCCGAGATCAGGGACACCTGGGTGGGGACATCCCAGTGTCCCCTGGGCCAGCCGGGGCCACCTGGGATGTCCCCTCCTGGTGTCCCCAAATCCCAGACTGGGGTTGGGGACATTTCTGGGTTCCTGAGGGACACCAGTGCCTGGGACAGCCCCGGGATGGGGGCTCCAAACCCCGGCAGGTCCTGGAAGGGTCCTAAAAGTGTCCTGGGAGGGTCCTGGAAGGGTTTCCAGAATGTTCTCAGCTCCTGCAGGTCCCGGAAGGGTTCTCAGGATGTTCTGAGCTCCGGCAGGTCCTTGCAGGCCCCGCGGCTCCGGGCGTGCCCCTGACCCTGTCCCTGTCCCTGTCCCTGTCCCTGTCCCTGTCCCTGTCCCTGTCCCTGTCCCATCCCTGTCCCCAAAATCCCCCAAATTCACCCCAAAATTTTCCCAAAATCCCCCAAATTCACCCCAAAATTTTCCCAAAATCCCCCAAATTCACCCCAAAATTTTCCCAAAATCCCCCAAATTCACCCCAAAATTTTCCCAAAATCCCCCAAATTCACCCCAAAATTTTCCCAAAATCCCCCAAATTCACCCCAAAATTTTCCCAAAATCCCCCAAATTCACCCCAAAATTTTCCCAAAATCCCCCAAATTCACCCCAAAATTTTCCCAAAATCCCCCAAATTCACCCCAAAATTTTCCCAAAATCCCCCAAATTCACCCCAAAATTTTCCCAAAATCCCCCAAATTCACCCCAAAATTTTCCCAAAATCCCCCAAATTCACCCCAAAATTTTCCCAAAATCCCCCAAATTCACCCCAAAATTTTCCCAAAATCCCCCAAATTCACCCCAAAATTTTCCCAAAATCCCCCAAATTCACCCCAAAATTTTCCCAAAATCCCCCAAATTCACCCCAAAATTTTCCCAAAATCCCCCAAATTCACCCCAAAATTTTCCCAAAATCCCCCAAATTCACCCCAAAATTTTCCCAAAATCCCCCAAATTCACCCCAAAATTTTCCCAAAATCCCCCAAATTCACCCCAAAATTTTCCCAAAATCCCCCAAATTCACCCCAAAATTTTCCCAAAATCCCCCAAATTCACCCCAAAATTTTCCCAAAATCCCCCAAATTCACCCCAAAATTTTCCCAAAATCCCCCAAATTCACCCCAAAATTTTCCCAAAATCCCCCAAATTCACCCCAAAATTTTCCCAAAATCCCCCAAATTCACTCCAAAATTTTCCCAAAATCCCCCAAATTCACCCCAAAATTTTCCCAAAATCCCCCAAATTCACTCCAAAATTTTCCCAAAATCCCCCAAATTCACCCCAAAATTTTCCCAAAATCCCCCAAATTCACCCCAAAATTTTCCCCAAAATCCCAAATTCCCCCAAAATCCCAAATTTCCCAAAATCGCCCAAACTCTCCCCAATTGTGCAGATCTGCGCACGGGCTCGCAGGTGCAGCTGATCGAGGTGCACAAGTACCAGGTGCGCACTGGCGCGTACTGGTTGTACTGGTTTATACTGGGAGGGACTGGGAGGGACTGGGGGGGACTGGGAGGGACTGGGAGGGAACTGGTTTGTACTGGGTTATACTGGGAGGGACTGGGGGGGACCGGAATGAACTGGGAGGGAACTGGGAACAAACTGGGAGGGACTGGTTTGGACTGGGAGGGACTGGGAACAAACTGGGATGGACTGGGATGGACTGGGAGGGACTGGGGGGCACTGGTTTGTACTGGATTATACTGGGAGGGATTTGTGGGGGACTGGGATGGACTGGGATGGGAGTGGGAGGGACTGGGATGGGACTGGGGGGGATTGGGGGGGACTGGGATTAACTGGGATGGACTGGGATGGGCTGGGAACAGACTGGGAGGGACTGGGATTTAACAGAGAATGGACTGGGATTTAACTGGGATGGGCTGGGAATTAACTGGAAATGGACTGGGAATAGACTGGGAACTAACTAGGATTTAACTGGGAACGGACTGGGAATTAACTGGGAATTTACTGGAATTTAGTGGGAATTTCCTGGGAATATTACTGGGAATGTAGTGGGAATTTGATGGGAATTTTCTGGGAATTTACTGGGGAATTTGATGGGACTGTACTGGGAGTTTGCTGGGATTTTACTGGAATTTTGCTGAGAATTTACTGGGGATTTTATTGGGAATTTACTGGGATTTTACTGGGAATTTAATGGGAATTTTACTGGGATTTTACTGGGGATTTTACTGGGATTTTACTGGAATTTTGCTGAGAATTTACTGGGAATCTGCTAAAATTTACTGGGAATATTGCTGGGAATTTGATAGCAATTTTACTGGGATTTTACTGGAATTTGGCTGAGAATGTACTGCGCATCTGCTAAAATTTACTGGGAATATTGGTGGGAATTTGATAGCAATTTTACTGGGATTTTACTGGAATTTGGCTGAGAATGTACTGCGCATCTGCTAAAATTTACTGGGAATATTGGTGGGAATTTGATAGCAATTTTACTGGGATTTTACTGGAATTTGGCTGAGAATGTACTGCGCATCTGCTAAAATTTACTGGGAATATTGGTGGGAATTTGATAGCAATTTTACTGGGATTTTACTGGAATTTGGCTGAGAATGTACTGCGCATCTGCTAAAATTTACTGGGAATATTGGTGGGAATTTGATAGCAATTTTACTGGGAATTAACTGGGAATTTAGTGGGAATTTAATGGGGATTTTACTGGGAATTTAGTGGGGATTTTACTGGGAATTTACTGGGAATTTAGTGGGGATTTTACTGGGATTTTACTGGGATTTTGCTGGGAATTTACTGGGAATCTGCTGGGAACCTGCTAAAATGTACTGGGAATATTGCTGGGAATTTGATAGCAATTTTACTGGGAATTTACTGGGAATTTAGTGGGGATTTTACTGGGATTTTACTGGAAATCTGCTGGGAACTCCTCCCTGCAGAGCCTCAGGGAGAGGAACCCCCTGCTCCTACCCCAAACCAAACCCACCCCCCTCACTCCCAGCCCCCGCTGTGGGATTTGGGGCTTTTCCCTGCAGCTTTTTCACCTTTTTCTTTTCTTTTTTGTCCTTTTTTCCCATTGCAGCTGTCTGGAATTCCTGCTGGACAACGGTGCTGACCCCTCCCTGCGGGACAAGCAGGGCTACACCGCCGTCCACTACGCGGCCGCCTACGGCAACCGGCAGAACCTCGAGCTGGTGAGGGCTCACGAGAGGGGAAAACACCCCCAGAAATGGGGGAAAACACCCCTAGGGAAGGGGGAAAAGACCCCCAGAAAATGGGGAAAACACCCCCAGAAATGGGGGAAATCAGCTCCAGGAAATGGGGGAAATCAGCTCCAGAAATGGGGGAAAACACTCCCAGGGAAGGGGGAAAACACTGCCAGGAAATGGGGGAAATCACCCCCAGGAAATGGGGAAAATCCACTAGGAAATAGGGAAAATCATAGCCAGGAAATGGGGGAAATCAGCACCAGGGAAGGGGGAAATCAGCACCAGGAAAGGGGGAAAACACCCCCAGAAATGGGGGAAATCAGCCCCAGGAAATGGGGGAAATCAGCCCCAGAAATGGGGGAAATCAGCCCCAGGAAATGGGGGAAATCAGCCCCAGAAATGGGGGAAATCAGCACCAGGGAAGGGGGGAAATCAGCCCCAGAAATGGGGGAAATCAGCCCCAGGAAATGGGGGAAATCAGCCCCAGAAATGGGGGAAAACACCCCCAGAAAAGGGGGAAATCAACCCCAGAAATAGGGGAAAAGACCCCTAGGGAAGGGGGAAAACACTGCCAGGAAATGGAGGAAATCACCCCCAGGAAATGGGGAAAATCCACTAGGAAATAGGGAAAATCACTGCCAGGAAATGGGGGAAATCAGCACCAGGGAAGGGGGGAAATCAGCTCCAGGAAATGGGGGAAAACACCCCTAGGGAAATGGGAAAATCAGCCAGGAAATGGGGGAAATCAGCTCCAGGGAATGGGGGAAATCAGCCCCAGGAATGGGGGAAAACAGCTCCAGAAATGGGGGAAATCAGCCTCAGGAAATGGGGGAAATCAGCCCCAGAAATGGGGGAAATCAGCCCCAGGAAATGGGGGAAATCAGCCCCAGAAATGGGGGAAAACACCCCCAGAAAAGGGGGAAATCAACCCCAGAAATAGGGGAAAAGACCCCTAGGGAAGGGGGAAAACACTGCCAGGAAATGGAGGAAATCACCCCCAGGAAATGGGGAAAATCCACTAGGAAATAGGGAAAATCATAGCCAGGAAATGGGGGAAATCAGCACCAGGGAAGGGGGGAAATCAGCTCCAGGAAATGGGGGAAAACACCCCTAGGGAAATGGGAAAATCAGCCAGGAAATGGGGGAAATCAGCTCCAGGGAATGGGGGAAATCAGCCCCAGGAATGGGGGAAAACAGCTCCAGAAATGGGGGAAATCAGCCTCAGGAAATGGGGGAAATCAGCCCCAGAAATGGGGGAAATCAGCCCCAGAAATGGAGGAAATCAGCCCCAGAAATGGGGGAAATCAGCCCCAGGAAAGGGGGGAAATCAGCCCCAGAAATGGAGGAAAACACTCCCAGGAAATGGGGAAAATCTCCCTGGGAAAGAGGGAAAAAATCCCCCAGGAAAGAGGGAAAATTGTAACTGGGATTTGTTTTGGGGTCGGGATTTTTGGAGTTTTTAAGGTTTTTGGGATCAGAGTTTTTGGGGTTTTGGGTGTTTTGTGGTCGGAGTTTTTGGTGTTTTGGGGTTGGAGTTTTTGGACTTCTGGGTGTTTTGGGGTCAGAGTTTTGGGGTTTTGGGTGTTTTGGGGTTGGAATTTTGGGATTTTTGCCCCTTCTGCCTCTCGGGGTGGCTGTGGGGAGCTCTGGGGTCAGTTTGCATTTGGGGTTTTGTCCCTGCAGCTCCTGGAAATGTCCTTTAACTGCCTGGAGGATGTGGAAAGCACCGTTCCAGTCAGCCCTTTGCACTTAGCTGTGAGTGCCTGCGGGTCCTGGAAGGGTTCTGGAGGGTTCCTGAAGGGTTCCTGAGGGGTTCTGGGCTCCTGCAGGTCCTGGAAGGGTTCCTGAGGGGTTCCTGAGGGGTTCTGGGCTCCTGCAGGTCCTGGAAGGGTTCCCAAAATGTCCTGGGAAGGTCCTGGAAGGCTTCTCAGGGGGGTTCTGGGCTCCTGCAGGTCCTGGAAGGGTTCTGGGGGAGATATTTTTGGGAGGGACACTTTGGTTGTCTGGAGCACACTTTGGTTTCCTGGAGGACATTTCTGGTTACCTGAGGGACACTTTGGGTACCTGGGTGGCACTTTGGGCACCTGAGGGACACTTTGGGCACGTGAGGGACACTTTGGGTACCTGAGAAACACTTTGAGTTCCTGAGGGACACTTTGAGTTCCTGAAGGACACTTTGGGTACCTGAGGGACACTTTGGGTACCCAAGGGACAGTTTTGGTTAGCTGAAGGACACGTTGGGTACCTGAGGGACACTTTGAGTTCCTGAGGGACATTTTGGGTTCCTGAGGGACACTGAAGGGTTCTGGGGGAGATATTTTTGGGAGGGACACTTTGGTTGTCTGGAGCACACTTTGGTTTCCTGGAGGACATTTCTGGTTACCTGAGGGACACTTTGGGTACCTGGGTGGCACTTTGGGCACCTGAGGGACGCTTTGAGTTCCTGAGGGACATTTTGGATGCCTGAGGGACACTCTGGGCACCTGAGGGACACTTTGAGTACCTGAGGGACATTTTGGGTACCTGAAGGACACTTTGAGTTCCTGAGGGACATTTTGAGTTCCTGAAGGACATCTTGGGTACCTGAAGGACACTTTGAGTTCCTGAGGGACACTTTGAGTACCTGAGAAACACTTTGGGTACCCAAGGGACAGTTTTGGTTAGCTGAAGGACATTTTGGGTACCTGAGGGACACTTTGAGTTCCTGAGGGACACTTTGAGTTCCTGAAGGACATTTTGAGTTCCTGAAGGACATTTTGGGTACCTGAGGGACACTTTGAGTTCCTGAGAAACACTTTGAGTTCCTGAGGGACACTTTGAGTTCCTGAGGGACACTTTGAGTTCCTGAAGGACACTTTGAGTTCCTGAGGGACACTTTGAGTTCCTGAAGGACATTTTGGGTACCTGAGGGACACTTTGAGTTCCTGAGGGACACTTTGAGTTCCTGAAGGACATTTTGAGTTCCTGAAGGACATTTTGGGTACCTGAGGGACACTTTGAGTTCCTGAGAAACACTTTGAGTTCCTGAGGGACACTTTGAGTTCCTGAGGGACACTTTGGGTACCTGAGGGACACTTTGAGTTCCCAAGGGACACTTTGAGTTCCTGAAGGACACTTTGGGTACCTGAGGGACACTTTGGGTGCCCAAGGGACACTTTAAGTTCCTGAAGGACATTTTGGGTACCTGAGGGACACTTCCACGTGCGTGTGCCCCGTCCCCAGGCCTACAATGGTCACTGTGAAGCCCTGAAGGCTCTGGCTGAGACGCTGGTGAACCTGGACGTGCGGGACCACAAGGGCCGCACCGCGCTCTACCTGGCCACGGAGCGCGGCGCCAGCGAGTGCGTGCAGGTGCTCACCAGCCACGGCGCCTCCGCCCTGGTCAAGGAGAGGAAGAGGAAGTGGACGCCTCTCCACGCTGCAGGTGGCACCTGGCGGGGTTCCTGAGGGGTTCTGGAATGTTCTGGGAGGGTTCCTGAGGGGTTCTGGAAGGGTTCTGGAATGTTCTGGGAGAGTTCTTGGGGTGTTTGGCATCCTGGGAGGGTTCCTGAGGAGTTCTGGAATGTTCTGGGAGGGTTCTGGGGGTGTTTTGGGTTCTGGGAGGGTTCCTGAGGGGTTCTGGGAGGGTTCTGGAATGTTCTGGGAGGGTTCTGGGGGTGTTTTGGGTTCTGGGAGGGTTCCTGAGGGGTTCTGGGATGTTCTGGGGATGTTCTGGGTCTTGGGAGGGTTCTGGAATGTCCTGGGAGGGTTCTGGGAAGGTCCTTGCAGGGTTCTGGTGGTGTTCTGGGCTCCTGAAGGTCCTGGGAGGGTTCCCAAAGTGTCTTAGGAAGGGTCCTGGAAGGGTTCCTGAGGTGTTCTGGGTCCTGGAAGGGATGGGGACAAGGCTTGGTAGAACCCCCAAACCCCAGGGGATGAGTGTCTTCCTGGAGGGTTGGGGGATCGGCGCCTCCGCCCTGGTCAAGGAGAGGAAGAGGAAGTGGACGCCTCTCCACGCTGCAGGTGGCACCTGGCGGGGTTCCTGAGGGGTTCTGGAATGTTCTGGGAGGGTTCCTGAGGGGTTCTGGAAGGGTTCTGGGATGTTCTGGGAGGGTTCTGGGGATGTTCTGGGTCTTGGGAGGGTTCTGGAATGTCCTGGGAGGGTTCTGGGAAGGTCCTTGCAGGGTTCTGGTGGTGTTCTGGGCTCCTGAAGGTCCTGGGAGGGTTCCCAAAGTGTCTTGGGAAAGTGCTGGAAGGGTTCCTGAGCGGTTCTGGGCTTCTGAAGGTCCTGGGAGGGTTCTCAGAGTGACTTGGGAGGGTTGTGGAAGGTTCTGGAATGTCCTGGGAGAGTTCTTGGGGTGTTCTGAGTCCTGGGAGGGTTCTGGGGGTGTCCTGGGAGGGTTCCTGAGGGGTTCTGGGGCTCCTTGAAGGTCCTGGGAAGGTTCTGGAATGTCTTGGGAGGGTTCTGGTGGTGTTCTGGGCTCCTGAAGGTCCTGGGAGGGTTCCCAAAGTGTCTTGGGAAGGGTCCTGGAAGGGTTCCTGAGGTGTTCTGGGTCCTGGAAGGGATGGGGACAAGGCTTGGTAGAACCCCCAAACCCCAGGGGATGAGTGTCTTCCTGGAGGGTTGGGGGATTTTGGGGTTTTGTTGCCTCTTTTTGTCTTGTTCCTCTGCCTCATCCGTCTTTCTCATGCCTCTTTTCCTTCTCCCCCCCATCCTCATCCCTCTTTTCCTCCTTCCTGTTTTCCTCATCCCTCTTTACCTTGTTTCTCTTTATCTCATCTCTTTTCCTCATCTCTTTTTTCCTCCTCCCATTTTCCTCCTCCCTTTTCCTCCTCCCTTTTCCTCCTCCGTCTTTTCCTTCTCCCTTTTTCCTCCTCCCATTTTCCTCCTCCCATTTTCCTCCCCCCTCATTTCCTCCTCCCTTTTCCATCTCCTCCCTTTTCCTCCTCCTCCCATTTCCCTGTCCCTTTTCCTCCTCCCTTTTCCTCATCCCTTTTCCTCCTCCGTCTTTTCCTTCTCCCTTTTGTCCTCCTCCTCTTTCCTCCTCCCATTTTCCTTCTCCCTTTTCCCCGTCCCTTTTCCCTGTCCCATTTCCCTGTCCCATTTTCCTCCTCCCTTTTCCTTCTCCCTTTTCCTCCTCCATTTCCCTGTCCCATTTTCCTCCTCCCTTCTCCTCATCCCTCATTTCCTCCTCCCATTTTCCTCCTCCCTTTACCTCGTCCCTCATTCCTCTCCCTTTTCCTCCTCCCTTTTCCTCCTCCCATTTCCCTGTCCCTTTTCCTCCTCCCTTTTCCTCCTCCCTTTTCCTCCTCCCTTTTCCCCCTCCCTTTCCCCCTCCATTCCCCGTCCCTTTCCCCTCCTTTCCCGGTTCCCGTGCCCAGCTGCCAACGGGAACACGGATTCCCTGCACCTCCTGATCGACAGCGGCGAGCGGGCGGACATCACCGACGTCATGGACATCCACGGCCAGTGAGTGCCACCCGCGGCCACCAGAGCCACCGGGCCAGCCGGGGGCACCTGCTGGAAGGTCCCAGCTTGGGATGAGGACCCGGAGAGATCCCTCGGCAGCTGCAGCGCAGCTGGAATTTGGGATATTTGTTAATTGGGTTTATTAGTGATAAAATCACAGGGGATCATGGGAGGGAAGATGGTTCCAAAGGAGCTTCTCCTGACCCTTCCCAGCTCCTTCCTGGGGAGTGGGAGCTGTGCTCAGTCCCTCCCATGTCCTCTGCACAAGAACTTTCCGTTCTTTCCTGCTTAAATATCGTATCCAGAGGTGCCACCACCATCCTAAGTGTCCTTCAGCACCATTCCTGATTGTCCCTCTCCACCATTCCCAATTGTCCCTCTCCACCATTCCTGTGTCCTTCACCACGGGCCAGCCGGGGGCACCCGCTGGAAGGTCCCAGCTTGGGATGAGGACCCGGAGAGATCCCTCGGCAGCTGCAGCGCAGCTGGAATTTGGGATATTCGTTAATTGGGTTTATTAGTGATAAAATCACGGGGGCTCATGGGAGGGAAAATGGTTCCCAACGAGCTTCTCCTGACCCTTCCCAGCTCTTCTGCTCCTTCCTGGGGAGTGGGAGCTGTGCTCAGTCCCTCCCATGTCCTCTGCACAAGAACTTTCCGTTCTTTCCTGCTTAAATATCGTATCCAGAGGTGCCACCACCATCCTAAGTGTCCTTCAGCACCATTCCTGATTGTCCCTCTCCACCATTCCCAATTGTCCCTCTCCACCATTCCTGTGTCCTTCACCACCGTGGTTTCCATGAATTCTCCATCCCTTTCCCCTCCAGTTTCTTGGTGGTCTCCATATCCCATGTCCTCTGCACAAGAACCTTCCCTTCTTTCGTGCTTAAATATCTTATCCAGAGGTGCCACCACCATCCTAAGTGTCCTTCAGCACCATTCCTGATTGTCCCTCTCCACCATTCCTGATTGTCCCTCACCACCATTCCCAATTGTCCCTCACCACCATTCCTGTGTCCTTCACCACCGTGGTTTCCATGAATTCTCCATCCCATCCCCTCCAGGCTCTTGGTGGTCTCCATGAATTCTCCATCCCTTTCCCCCCAGTTTTTTGGTGGTCTCCATGAATTCTCCATCCCAACTCCTCCAATTCCTTGGTGGTTCCATGAATTCTCCATCCCAACCCCTCCAGTTTCTTGGTGGTCTCCATGAGTTCCCCATCCCCTCCAGTTTCTTGGTGGTCTCCATGAATTCTCCATCCCTTTCCCCCCAGTTTCCTGGTGGTCTCCATCCCTTCCCCCCAGTTTCCTGGTGGTCTCCATTGGGGTCAGTGGGGTCTGGGGTCACTGGGGTCAGTGGGGTCTGGGGTCCTGGGTCAGTGGGGTCTGGGATCTCCGGGGTCTGGGGTCACTGGGGTCAGTGGGGTCTGGGGTCCTGGGTCAGTGGGGTCTGGGATCTCCGGGGTCTGGGGTCACTTGGGTCTGGGTCAGTGGGGATTTGGGGTCTCTGGAGTCTGGGGTCTCTGGGGAGGTTTGTGTTGTTTTAGGAGTTTTATTCTGTTTTTGCTCTTATGGGAAGAGCGATGTAATATCGATGTTCTAATTCTATTAGATAGAGATATTAGGTATAGATTAATGGATCTATAGATTAATAGATCTACAGATAGAGAGGGATGTGTATGGATATAGGTCTGTAGATACATAGGGATAGATAGATATATAGATTAGATATAGGTAAATAGATCTATAGATATTGATGGCTATTGATAGATACATAGAGATATATGTAGATATAGAGAAATAGATCTGTAGATATAGATCTGTAGATATATAGATATATATAGATATTTGTGATATAGAGATATAGATATATAGATATAGGCATAAAAAATATAAAAAACTAAAGCCTGAGGCATCCCACTAAGCCAGCACAGAATCTGAAAAATATAACAAATATAAATACATATACATATAAATTATATATATATATATGAAGAATTATAAAAACCTAAAACCTGAGGCACCCAACTAAGCCAGCACAGAATCTGAAAAATATAACAAATATAAATACATATACATATAAATTATATATATATATATGAAGAATTATAAAAACCTAAAACCTGAGGCACCCAACTAAGCCAGCACAGAATCTGAAAAATATAACAAATATAAATACATATACATATAAATTATATATATATATATGAAGAATTATAAAAACCTAAAACCTGAGGCACCCAACTAAGCCAGCACAGAATCAGAAAAATATTTGGGGGGGTTTTTTCTGGATTTTTTGGGGGTTTTTTCTAGGTTTTTTGGGGATTTTGTGGTGGACTACAGCGGCTGCTCGCCCATGCACTGGGCCTCCTGTAGTGGTGAGGGGCTGCCCTCCTCTTCAATCCCATTCCTTTTTGAGTTCCCTTGGCTCAGCTCAGGAAGGGATGGGGAGGAATTTGGGTTCCTCCAGGAGAGGCTCAGGCTGGACATGAGGAGGAATTTCCTCATGGAAAAGTGGTCAGGCTTTGGAGCTGCCTGGAGAAAAGGAGGCTCAGAGGGGAATTTCACTCCCTGAGGGGAGAGCAGGGTCAGGATCTGCTCCCAGGAACAGCAGGAGGAGAAGGAACAGCCCCAAACTCCTCCAGGAGAGGCTCAGGGGGACATCAGGAGGAATAAAAGGTGGTCAGGCTTTGGAAGTGCCCAGGGAAGTTTGGGGTCCCCATCCCTGAGGTGTGCAGGATGTGACACTCAGAGCTTGGGGTCACTCCCAGCTTGGACTCGATGATTTAGGGGGGATTTTCCATATATATATATATGCACATATATATATATTTACACTCATATATACATATATACATAAAAAATATAGTTTTTTTAGTATATTAAAAATATAAAGACCTGAAAGCTGAGGCCCACCACTAACCCAAAAGGTTCTGTGCCCCCAGGCGGTGCCGGGCTGCGAGGACTGCCTGGCTGCCCTGCTGGGCCAATATATTTTAATATATATATATACACACATACAAACATATATACATATATATAGAAATATAATTTTTTTATCTATTAAAACCTATAAAAAGCTGAATCCTGAGGCACCCCACTAACCCACAAGCCTCTCCCCAGGCGGTGACGGGCTGCGAGGACTGCCTGGCTGCCCTGCTGGACCACGATGGATCTGTAGAGATATGGAGATATTGATTAGATAGATAGAGAGATAGAGAGATAGAGAGATAGATAGATAGATAGATAGATAGAGAGATAGATAGATTGATAGAGAGATATACAGAGATGTAGACATAGGAAAATACAATAAACTAAAGCCTGAAGTATCCCACTAAGCCAGCACTGAATCTGAAAAATACAACAAATATACACACACACACATATATAATTTTTTAATATATTAAAACCTATAAAAAGCTGAATCCTCAGGCACCCCACTAACCCTCAAGCCTCTCCCCAGGCGGTGACGGGCTGCGAGGACTGCCTGGCTGCCCTGCTGGACCACGATGCCTTTGTCCTGTGCCGGGACTTCAAGGGGCGCACCCCGATCCACTTCGCCTCGGCCTGCGGGCACCTGGAGGCGCTGCGGGCGCTGCTGCGCGCCGCGCTGGCCACCGACCCGCTGGACGCCGGCGTGGACTACAGCGGCTACTCGCCCATGCACTGGGCCTCCTACAGTGGTCAGGGGCTGCTCTCCTCTTCTCTTGGGGTTTTGGGGTTTTTATGGTTTTTTGGGGGTTTTTTGGGGGTCTTTCTGGATTTTAGGGGGGTTTTTTGCAGTGTTTTTTGGGTCCCTCATGGACTACAGCGGCTACTCGCCCATGCACTGGGCCTCCTACAGTGGTCAGGGGCTGCTCTTCTCTTCGTTTGGGGTTTTTTGGGATTTTTTTGGGGTTTTTTTGGGGGTGGGATGGGATGGGATGGGGTGGGGTGGGATGGGATGGGATGGGATAGGATTCTTCTTCTCCCCCTGTTGAGGTCAGGATTGAGGCTCCTGAGATGATGTTTCATGTTCACACTCAGGTGTTTGTCTGTGTTAGGATATTTCACATTCAGACTCAAATATTTATTATTTCTTACCTGTATTATGATAGTTCCCATTCAGACTCAGCTGTTTGTTGTTTCTCATCCATGTTACATTCTCACAGCAGCTAAAACCTGAGGCACCATACCTTGAATGTCAGAACTGCAGCTTAAAGCAGCACAAAATCTGAAAAATATAAAATATAAACCTAAGGCATCTTACCATGAATGTCAGAACTGCAGCTTAAAGCAGCACAAAAGTTGAAAAATACAAAATCTAAACCTGAGGTACCATACCTTGAATGTCAGAACTGCAGCTTAAAGCAGCACAAAAGTTGAAAAATATAAAATCCAAACCTGAGGTGTCGGGGTGCTGCTGCTCCCAGAGGAGGGGACCCAGCTGTCCCCTCTCCTGGCAGGCTCTGGGGACATTTTTTGCCTCTTCCTCACCAGTTCTCCTCCTCCTCCTCCTCCTTGCAGAGTTCCTGCTGTTCCAAGCAAAAGCAAATATTACTGTGCTGGATGTCAACAAGAACACAGCTCTTCACCTGGCCTGCAGCAAGGTGGGGACACGGCCGGCGCGGGCGGCACCTCTGGGGCCCTTCGGTGTCCCCCTGGGCAGGGTGGCACCTCTGGGGCCCTTCGGTGTCCCCCTGGGCAGGGTCACTTTGTCCATTCCATGGTGGTCACTTTGTCCAACCCACGGTGGTCACTGTGTCCAGGCCATGGTGGTCACTTTGTCCATTCCATGGTGGTCAATTTGTCCAACTCATTCTGGTCACTTTGTCCATTCCATGGTGGTCACTTTGTCCAACCCACGGTGGTCACTTTGTCCAAGCCATGGTGGTCACTTTGTCCATTCCATGGTGGTCACTTTGTCCACTCCATGGTGGTCACTTTGTCCAACCCACGGTGGTCACTTTGTCCAACCCATGGTGGCAACCAGGGGCTTGTGGTCACTTTGTCCATTCCATGGTGGCACCAGGGGCGCGTGGTCACTTTGTCCAGGCCATGGTGGTCACTTTGTCCATTCCATGGTGGTCACTTTGTCCAGCCCATGGTGGTCACTTTGTCCAACCCATGGTGGTCACTTTGTCCATTCCATGGTGGTCACTTTGTCCATTCCATGGTGGCACCAGGGGCTCGTGGTCACTTTGTCCACGCCGAGGGGGGAAGGCTGGGGGGACAGCGGGTGCCAGGGTGCCCTGGGGGAGGGGGACAGTTCTGGGAATGGTTCTGCTGCCCTGAGTGTCCCCGCGTGTCCCCAGGGCCATGAAAAGTGTGCCTTGTTGATCCTGGGGGAAACCCAAGACCTTGGCCTTATCAATGCAAGTAACAGTGCTCTGCAGATGTGAGTGTTTGCACAGCTGGGGAGCTGGGACTGCGACTGGGGAACTGGGGAACCGGGACTGGGGGAACTGGGAATGGGACTGGGGAACTGGGAATGGGGAACTGGGAATGGTGGGGCTGGGGAAATGGGAATGGGAATGGGGGAACTGGGAATGGGGGAATGGGGGAAAACTGGGAAATGTGTGAACGGGCGAGCCCTTGAACCCACTCAAAGGTTTTGGCAGGGGGTGTTCTGTAGGGTTTTGTGGTGGGATTTTGTGGTAGAGTTTTGGGGTGGGATTTTGTGCTGAGGTTTTGTGGTGGGATTTTGTGGTTGGGTTTTGGGTGGGATTTTGTGATAGGGTTTTGGGGTGAGATTTTGGGTGCGGTTTTGTGGTGGGATTTTGGGGTGAATACCCCACACCTCATCCCACACCCCATCCCACACCCCATCCCACACCCCATCCCACACCCCATCCCACACCCCATCCCACACCCCATCCCACACCCCACACCATACCCCACACCTCATCCCATACGGCGCACCCCACACCCCATCCCACACCCCACACCAGCCCCCACACCTCATCCCACACCCCATCCCACACCCCATCCCACACCCCATCCCACACCCCATCCCACACCCCACACCTCATCCCCCAATCCCACCCCCCAGAGTCCCCCAACCCCACAGCCCCACAACCCCACACCTCATCCTGTGACCCCACAATGCCACAACACCACAATCCTTTAATCCCACACTCCATCCCACAACCCCTGAACTTCCAACCCCACACCCCCTCACCCCTCACAGCTCACTCCATCCCTCAGGTCACACCCCATCCCACACCCCCAGAATCCCACAACCTCGTACCCCATTCCCCAACCCCAGAACCCCACACACCCTCACACCCCCTCACCCCTCACGGCTGGCTCTGTCCCTCAAGTCACACCCCATTGCCAACTCCACACCCCACACCCCTCACACCTCCTCATGACCAGCTCCATCCCTCAGGTCACACCCCATCCCACACCCCCAGAACCCCACACGCCATTTCCCAGTCCCTCCCCCCTCACGGCCGGCTCCGTCCCTCAGGTCACACCCCATCCCACACCCCCAGAACCCCACACCCCATTCCCCAGCCTCACATCCCATTTC